ACTGCCTGGACACAGGCTCTCTCTGTTACCCCTTCACAGAAATGGATCCCCACAGTATATCTGCCCTGGGCCCCCAGGTGCAGTACTGACCCTCCTGGCACCCTCGGAGCTTAAGCATGACCTTTCTCAGAGCTCCAACCTTTTAGGCACTCTAGATTTACAGTTCACTTCTTTAGAGACACATTATAGTTGAAAGCAAATAAATACACAGACTTTTTAAGGGTTCTCAAAACCAATCACTCTTTACATTAGCTAGCACAAGAAATATAACGTCTAAACAGAATAATAAACACACCTGTATGCATTTCTCTACCTCAGTTTCTGCACCACTCTGAGCTTTCTTTGGGTTTAGGTCACTAAGTAATTCAGGATACTTCCTGTCCTCCTGCATATGACTTCTCCTCAAGAACATAGAGTCTCTCTGGTCTCTTCTCCCGCTCTCTCCAAAATGGCCAGTGAGAGATTCTCTTTTATAATTTCCAGCCCCACTTTGTCAGGTGACTCACTGATCAGCCTTACTAGGTGATCTGTTGCTTAGACCAGGTCTACACTACAGACCTATATTGGTATTGTGACATGCTGTATCTCAAAATAGCATCCTGTAAACCCCATATTCCTCATTTGTAGATGGTTGTGATGTTTCATACAAAGCATACCTTGTAAAGTACCAAATGAATGGTCATGATCTGCTGAAACTCATTGTTCTGTCAAAATACGTATATCGTTATGGTGTATGAAATTATGAGATTTTGCTGTATGGTTGTTTTTGAAATATGTTGTGTGTCTGGGACATGCACACAGTTAGCTCTCCAGTGACAACAAAGGTGATGACCAAACGGGCATTAAGCAACCATCATGAGCCAATGACAAGCAGGAGAACTGTAAACAAGAGATTTACAATTCTGTAAGAGACAGTTGCGCAAGCACCACACAATGAGGATTGCTCAACTGTATGACTCAGTTGTGCAAGCACCACATAATGGGGATTGCTCAACTCTGTGACTCAGCAAGGCCCACCAGGGCATGTCTGGGCCAGTACTTTTCCAGGGACATGAATTAAGAGTGTAAAATAAGGGACAGGGGCACCAGGAGATCACCTCTCTCCTCCTCCACCTACACTGAAGGCAACAAGATTGCTGGGAAGACAAAGACTTTGAAAACTGAGGAGATTGATCCCAGGCTGAGAAGGAAATTTATCCTGTGTATTAAGAACTGTAAGCTGCCTGTAACATCTATTAGGGTGAGAAAAGCTGTTTGATTCAGCTCTTGCTTAGTCTAAAAGTTTAGGATTTAGAATGTGTGTTTACTTTTTATCTTCTTAAGGTAACTGTCTTTGACCTTTATGCCTACCACTTATAATCACTTAAAATCTATCTTTCTGTAGTTAATAAACTTATTTTAATATTTTATCCTTACCAGTGAGTTTGACTAAAGTGCTTAGGGAATTTGCACAGCTTACAAAGGCTGGTTCATGTCCACTATCCTTTGATGAAATGGTGAACTAATTAATGAGCTTACATTGTTCAAGAGAAGGTTTGCTGCTTGTCACTAGCAAACCATCGTGAAAGGCAGCCCAGGCTGGAGAGTTAAGGGGGTCATAGTGGTTTCACAGTTCCAGGTTGTACCCCAGGGATCCCGTCACAGGTAATCTACATTGCTCAGAGGTGTGAAAATTCTACACCCTTGAGTGACATAGTGATACCAACCTAACCCCCTGTGTAGTCAGCACTACATTCATGGGAGAGCTTTTCCCATAGACATAGCTACCATCTCTCGGGGAGGTGGATTAAATACACCAATGGAAGAAGCTCTTTCGTCAGCATAGTAACATCTTCACTAAAATGCTACAGGGGCACAGCTACCCCAGTGCAATTGTGCTGCTGTAGAGTTGTACGTGAAAACAAACTCTCAGGCCTGGTCTACACTACGACTTTAATTCGGATTTAGCTGCGTTAATCCGAATTAACCCTTCACCCGTCCACACTACAGAGCCAGTTAATTCGAATTAAAGGGCACTTAAAATCGATTTCTGTACTCCACCTCGATGAGCGGAGTAGCGCCTAAATCGATTTTGTTAATTCGAATTAGGGTTAGTGTGGCCGCACACCACCGAATTACTGTGGTTAAAGTAATGGGGTAGTGTGGCCGCACACCACCGAATTAATGTTGTTAAAAACCGAATTAATGTGCTTAGTGTGGCCGCGCACAATCGAATTTATACAACCTGTTTCCCAAATTCGAATTATCTAAATTCGGATTAATCCTGTAGTGTAGACATACCCTCAGTTGCCAAACCCTCTAGAGTTCAAAAACTGGTTTCCCCTGGGCAGTATCCATCTCTTTGTGCAAGGCTGCTCCATTTAAATCGCCAATCAACATTTAACAACTTGCCTTTGCGCTTAGGTGACCAGATAGCAAGTGTGAAAAATCGGGAGAGGGGTGGGGGGTAATAGGTGCCTATTGTAAGAAAAAGCTCCAAATATCAAGACTGTCTCTATAAAATCGGGACATCTGGTCACCCTATTCCGATTGTCTACACTTAAAAGGGTTGCAGCGGGAGCAGCTGCACTGATGCAGCTGCCTTACTGTAGCACTTTGGTATATGCTGTGACGGTGTACCCCATAGGGCTTCATGGGAATATGCTTATGAATGTATATATGATATAACTGGAATATGTTTTATGCTACATATGCCATGTAACATATCTATGTAAAGGTTATGATCTACTGAATACATTCCTCCTATTTGTATGCAGGTTTCATTTTTGTATTTGAAGTTAGGAATATTGGCTGTATACTTGCTTGATTTCTAAGTAGCCTTAGTAAGCATTTGGTCAGCTTCTTGAGAAAGCAATGTGCAAATTAAGTGCCCAATCAAGAACCACTTAAGCCAACAATGAACTTGAAGATGCCAATCCACATCGGAGCTTTTCCAGGAATGTGGCTTGGCTGGTAAGAAACTCAGTCATGCATGGACATGTGACTTGCCCATGTGACTCCAAAACTCCATCTTGGAGCTGGACTTTGCATAGGAGAGAGGAGGGGGTCTCCACCCACAAGAGAAAGTCTATTTAAGCCTGTGGGAGACCCCTCCATTTTGTCTTCAGCTGGCTAAAGACATAGCCTTTCCACCCCCAAGGATACCTGAAAGAAACTGGAACAAAGGACAGTAACTACAGGGGGTGTGAGTGATTGCTGGACCCAGACCAAAAGGAGACTAGTCTGTAAAAGGAAGCTTACTGGAATTCCTCTAAGGGTGAGGTTTTTATCTGTACTCAGTTTTCTTATGTATTAGACTCAGACTTGCGTGTTTTATTTTATTTAACTTGGTAATTCACTTTGTTCTGTCTGCTATTACTTGGAACCACTTAAATCCTACTTTCTGTATTTAATAAAATCACTGTTTACTTATTAATTAACCCAGAGAATGTATTAATACCTGGGGGGGGCAAACAGCTGTGATATCTCTCTATCAGTGTTATAGAGGGCGAACAATTTATGAGTTTACCCTGTATAAGCTTTATACAGGGTAAAACAGATTTATTTGGGGTTTAGACCCCATTGGGAGTTGGGCATATGAGTGTTAAAGACAGGAACACTTCTGCAAGCTGCTTTCAGTTAAGTCTGCAGCTTTGCGGCACATGGTTCAGACCCTGGGTCGGTGTTGGACCAGACTGGCATGTCTGGCTCAACAAGACAGGGTGCTGGAGTCCCAGGCTGGCAGGGAAAGCAGGGGCAGAACTAGTCTTGGCACATCAGTTGGCAGTTCCCAAGAGGGTTTCTGTGATTCAACCCATCACAGATGCTACCTACACTGACAGGAGGGCTTCTCCCATTGGTGTAGGTACTCCACCTCTCTGAGAGATAGTAACTATGCCGACGGGAGAAGCCCTCCCATCAACATAGCACTGGCAACACCAGGAGATAGGTCGATATAACTGTGTCGCTCAGGGGTGTACAAAATCCATATCCCTGAGCAACATAGTTATACCAATGTAAGTTGCTAGTGTAGATTAAGCCTTTGTTAGCCATGTGCCACCACCCCTTAGAATTTAGTCCAAGATGGAGGCATAAAGGCAACAAAAAAGGCAGCAAGCCCCACTTTCAAAATGGAGTTTGCAATCTGATACAGATACACAGAGAGTTCCCCATATAAAACAGAATTCATAAGCTATACTTAGACAAGATTCCTCAAATCATCAAAATAATTTACTCCACATAGAGAAAAGAAAAATGTTAGACAGTTTATTTTAAAACCTTTAAACAACTGTATAGGTTGTAGGACTGGTGTTTAGAAGTGGTCTTATAGACTGCTATATCATTCATGTCTCTTCAGCGGTTGGATTTCCCACAGAATGTTCCTGCCCTCCCGCCCATTCCCTGTCATTAAAACATCAGCAGGCTTGCAGTCGCAATAGATGTAATGTATTCCATGTGTTATTTTTCTTTTTGCTTAGAAAAGAATCCAGAATTCTTGCAATAAAGGATTATTTTAAACCATTTAAGTCTCTTCTTTTCTAGATCAGCTGACTGACATCTGAAAACAGAAAACTCAGTGGAAAAAATCTCTCTCTCTCTCTCTTTCTGTTCGCAGCTTTTAGGATATGGTCTTTGTCTCAGGGATCTAAGAGAGTTAGAGTGACCATGCAGCCAGACTCAGGGACCTAAGTTTTCCATCCACATGTAAATATTTATGACTAAAGTCCTAGTTATTATACTGAGGAATACAGTTTTGGTTTACATAACATTTATATTTGGAAAAGCTCTCATGGGTAAAAATATGTAAGTATGATTTTGGCCACACTGAAATAAGTGATTTGATTATTTCAAGTCTCTGTGGTTCTCATTTTATTTATATATTTATCTCAATTATATTAGTTGTTTTCCTATTGGCTAAGACAACTCAGCCTACCAAATGATTATGAAGTTACATAAGACTCTATTTGAAGACTATATAAAGCCTTTTTTTCACTCTAGCAAGAGAGAGAAGTCTATCAAGATGCAGGTTTGCTGCTTCAGGTTCATTCATGCATGGAGATTTGTTTCAAGACACACTGAAACCTGAACCAGTGCTGATATATTTACTAGCCCATACTTCAGAGCTATCAACCTGAGTCGTGAGTAACAGCTACTGTAAGTAGCTTCTGTGCGCTATGAAGAATTTTTCAGTTCCTCTGCAAGCTAATGAATATCAGACTGAAAGTCTTTTTCCTCAGCTTATCCTGAATTTGACAAATAAGTCAGATCCAGTTGGAAGACAAGAAAGAGATGAGCAATTAGCTCAGTTAGAGATTGCTGTGTTGGGAGTAATATTTATGACAGCATCTGTGGGCAATTTTATTCTCATACTGGTACTGTGGAGGAGAAGAAAGAAGTTATCTAGGATGTATGTATTCATGCTTCACCTGAGCATAGCAGACTTAGTGGTAGCATTTTTTCAAGTACTTCCCCAACTAATATGGGATATTACAGACATTTTCATAGGGCCAGATGCATTGTGCAGAACTATCAAATATTTGCAGTTGTTGGGCATGTTTGCCTCTACTTATATGATAGTGGTCATGACAGTGGACAGATATCAAGCAGTATGCTATCCCATGGTCACTTTCCAAAAGAAAAGGGCTCTTTGGAATGCTGCCATTTGCACCAGCTGGTCTATATCACTGCTTTTTAGTCTTCCACAAGTATTTATCTTTTCCAAGACTGAAATATCTCCAGATATTTTTGAATGCTGGGGTGAGTTCATCCAACCTTGGGGCTTAAAGGCATATGTGACTTGGATTTTTGTAGCTATTTTCTTCATTCCCACAGCTATCCTTACCATATGCCAGGTTAAGATCTGCAAAATAATACTAATGAACGTACATGTGAAAAAAAGGAATGAATTTGAAGCAATAAATCAGAAGCAAGTCCTGCCATTCCAAGCAAGCAGTATTAACTGTATTTCAAAGGCTATGATCAAGACTGTAAAAATGACAGTGGTGACAGTTATTGCATATGTCCTTTGTTGGGCACCTTTCTTCATTGTACAGTTGTGGTCTGTATGGTACCCCAGTGGCATTACTGAAGGTAAGATACTCCTTTTTCTTATCAATAACTATAGTAGACTACCACATTGCTACATTTCCTCTTTATATATACATATTATTTAGGTTCAACGATGTGTAATCATTTTATGTATGATTAAATTTGAAGGACTAGTTTGTTTGCATACTGTATTAATGATGTATAGGGCTTTACCAAATTCAGGGTCCATTTTGGTCAATTTCACAGCCATAGGATTTTAAAAATAATAAATTTCATGGTTTCAGATATTTAAATTTGAAATTTCATGGTGCTGTAATTGTAGGGGTCCTGACCAGTGTTCCCTCTAATTTTTCCCACAGATGTGCGGAATGAATTTTGTTATGTGCACCAATATGGAGGTGATGCATCATACATCACCTCCATATTGGTGCACATAACAAAATTCATGTGGTGTGGGTGGGGTGGAGGGGTTCGGAGTGTGGGAGGGGGATCAGGGCTGGGGCAGAGGGCTGTGGTGCAGGGGTTTGAGAGCTTCATCTGGGGGTGTGGGCTCTGGGGTGGGGCTGGGGATGAGGGGTTTGGGGTGCAGGAGGGTGCTCCGGGGCTATGACGGGGAGAGAGAGGACTCCCCCCAGCTCTCTCCTTGCAGCAGTATTTGGGCTGGAGAAAGGGGCGGGGATTGGGGGTAGGGGTGGAGTGGGGGCGGGGCCTGGGGTGGAGGGCAGGGTCGAGCACCGCCCCAGGCTAGAGGGAAAGTCGGCGCCTATGGCACACCCCTCCCCCGGCTGTGGCAGGTCGGCTGCATGGGTTCCCTGAGTGCCTGTGCGGCACTAAATAAGCTGATGCACGGCCACGCAGCTTACAGGGAACTTAGGTCCTGACCGAAAAAGGAGTTGTGTGTGTGTGTGTGTGGGGGGGGGGGGGGCCAAGGGGTTTGGAGGGGGGGTGCAGTACTGCTACCCTTACATCCGCGCTGCTGCTGGTGGCAGTGCTTCCTTCAGAGCTGGGTGGCCGGAGAGCGGTGGCTGCTGGCCGTGAGCCCAGCTCTGAAGGTAGCACCACTGCCAGCAGCAGCACAGAAGTAAGGATGGCATGGTATTGCCACCCTTATTTCTGTGCTGCTGCCTTCACAGCAGCTGCCGCTCTCCTGCCACCCAGCTCTGAAGGCAGTGCAGAAGTAAGGGTGGCAATACCGCAGCCCCCCTAAAATAAGCTTGCAACCTGTCCCCTGCAACCACCTTTTGGGTCAGGACACCCAGTTTGAGAATGCTGGTCTGTCCGCATGAAAGCTGTATAGTATAGGGTAAAAGCACACAGAAGACCAGATTTCATGGGGTAGACCAAATTTCACAGTCCGTGAGGCGTTTTTCATGGCCATGAATAATGATGTACAATAGCTGGTAACATATTACACTGCATAATCAAAAATCATCTTGGGGGTTACTTAATGTGTGTGTACACATGTACAAACATATGCTTTCAATAAGGCTTTTTTTTCTGTTGGGAAGGCTAACCAAGATTAATTAGCATTTAATTATTAGTAAACAACACAGTGAAAATGTTATAAGTTTTATTTGTACTAGCAAGAGATCAATATATACATTTAGAGATTTTAGAGATTATGGAATTACTTTTTTTGTATATTAGGGAAATTAAAGGCAATATAGCATTTTAGCTTTAACTAATTAATAAAATAATTATTCAAATTAATAAAATAAATATTTCTGGTTTACTATTTATAACAGCAACACTATAAAACCTCTACAGTGTTTTTGAATATTGAAATGTTCTTAGCTGTGAAATATCTTCAGTGAACTATGGAACAATTACAAATTGTGTAAGGGTTGATATTTGTAATGAAAACAAAGCTAAAATACAAAAGATAAAATGCTGTACACAATATTAATATTTTCAAAATTATATTGCTACTCTTTTGTTAAAAACAGACTCCCTAGCAACGTCATTTCTAAAGTTCAGCTGTTGAAAGATAAAATACGGATATAAATCAGACAAAATTATACTATAAATTTATAAAATTAGACTATAGTCTTGTCTTCTGAAAAGATCTCACGTTATGATCTTTGTTTTAAAAATTCTTTCTACAGGTATACATTTCTGAGATGGTACAGTATTTACATAGATTAAGGTAACAAGCAACTACATTAACATTTAGATTTATATGGGGTCAGAAGAGTTATGCAAAAATATCTATTTCTGAAATACATCTTATGCATATGCAGCTACAATGTATTATATACTGTAGATAGCTACAGAATTACAATTTTTATAACCATTGAATAAACTGAAATCTCCTAATGTTATTTTAACTTTTTCTCTATTGCAAAATGCTAAACTGATCCTACAAAAGTTAAGTTAATTAATTTAAGAACATGTACATCAAAGAGCATCAATTCATAAGAACATTACTACTTTCTGGCGTGTCTTATTTACATTGGTATCTCTCCAATTCTTTCATTCCAGGTGCAGCATTTACCATCATCATGCTCCTGGGGAATTTGAATAGTTGTGCCAATCCGTGGATTTACATGTATTTTTGTGGCCACATTCCATATTGTGCCAAAAAGCAGCCAAAAAACATCTCAGCTCAGGAAGAATCTGTGATCACAGGAAGCATTAATTTGGTAGACAGGGAACCAGAAGAAAACCTAACTTGTGTATAAATATAAACTTCTTTTTGTTGCTTTGATACATTAATTACATTCAAGTTTTATGTGAATATTTTATCCCTATCCTTTGTTATCTGAGGAATGGAGTGAGTTGAAAAATTGTCCTTCACTGTATAAATATATTTTTCTTAAATATTGTAGCATACACTGCATTGCAAGAATTCCAGTGTTGTGCAAGCCTGACTTTTAACAGTTACATTGCACTATAACATTCAAATAACTATTGGCAAAGATATGTAGAGCTATTTTATATACTTCATTTTTGTCTACAAAAACTGCTTTCTGTTCTCTAATTTTGGATTGCCAAAAGATTTCTACAAGAGTGATGACAAATTGTGATATTGTTGAAAAGGAGAATCCTATCATTAGATTTGAATGTGTGATATTGAAATTGAAGCATGAATAGTTCAGGAAAAATTGGGGGGAAATATTTGAGAAACCTTGAGAAGGCATTAGAAAGTCACTAAAACCCTCTGTCAGCTTTAATTAAACACTTTATAAAAATGTGTCTGTCCTGGGGAGTTAAATGTCACAGAGTCTTTATACATTGCTCTTGCAACTCTGGACATCTGCTTTAGGTTCAAATAACATCTTGGGTCACAAGTGCTCAGGCACTATGGTAATGTTCCAGTATAAGGAGAATGGTGGCCTCGTTGTAGTTCCCATTTATGTATAATACAAAAGAACCACATAGGATTAGATTCTCTATCAAGTCACCTGGTGCACAGACAGGTTTGCAGTGAATTTGCACCCTATCTAAACAGACACAGTGGGTGACTTTGAGCCATTTTTGAATTCTGCATATATTTGTCCAGAGTGCATTCAGACCTGTCCTATCTCCTAGCACCCATCTGCTAGCACTGAATGTGCATCTAGGATAGGCAGCTTGACAGGTAATTTCTGAACCATATAGCACTCTATGGGCTTAGTAGCAGAGAAAAATAAATATTTCACCTTCATGGTAGAAATTAGTCACTTACCCAAGATCTGCAGTATCTTTACCTAGATTGCTATTTGCTGGCTGAATTGTGGATACCCTATGCAGATAGGTATTTCTTTCCTTTTTCAATGTCTGCAGTCTATTCAAGAGAGCGTGGACTGGAATATTAGTAGGTCTGTCACAGGCTAAGACAGAGATGCATTGGCAAAGGATCTCTGGGATGTTTGCACATCATCTGCCTATATTATGTCTAGCCCAAATCCGTGCTATTCTTCATTTTCATGAGTGCTAACATTCTTAAATGTTCAGGAAAAAAACCTATAAAAGTGTACTTGACATTTGCTCTTTTAATATTCTAAGACATAAAGAGAGAAATACTCTGCATCACACAATCATCATAAGAGCTAGTGGGTATTTTAAGCACAAAATGTACCAAACACTTGGACCAAATCCTGACAAGTGCTGATATACAGTGAGCTGATGTACACTGGCTTGATGTGTGGGATACTGATTGTATTTCCCATTAGTGACTGGCTTCAGTGACAATAGCAATGTACTACTTATAATTAGTGGTGTTCTCATTTATCTCAAATTGCAGATGCCAGTCTTTTGCAGTGAAGGTCCAGGATTCAGATCCCACAGATGACTGGGTTTCTATCTATGCAACCACTGAATGTCTACAACTCTCAATAAAATCAGCTCCCAGTGAGGATCTCTCGTGATGATTTAACCCTTTGGTTGTATGTTTCTGTCCTTTCTGTTTGGTTTTATTTCAGCTTGTTAAATTTCATATAACAGCAAAATATTCAAAATATATATTACAAATATTTCTGTAACTAGCTTTGTCAATTGGATTTTCAGCAAAACATGTATCATATTCAGTCTGTTTAAATTAACTATAGATAATAATCTGCACATAATAATCTGAAATATTAATATTGAAAAATCTATTCCTAAATGTCATTTGGTTGTTTTTATTTGTTTGTTGACTTTTTGTTTGTTTTTGCAACTCAGGCACAAGGATAAACAATTTATTAAGAAAAAATGGGAATGATAATTGGAAATCATTTAAAAAACACCTCACTAGATGCCCCAAAAGCCACAATCAACGAAGAAGATTGTACTGGTTAAAAGAACACCTGGTTTAGAGGAGAAGTGAAGGAAGCTATACAAATAATTTAAAAAAATAACAAATGGAAGAAAGGGGAAGATGACAGTAATGAATATAAATCAGAAATTAGGAATTGTAGAAAATTGATAAGGGAAGCACAAGGACACAAAGAGCAATCTATGATCAACAGCGTTAAAGACAATAAGGAGTTTTTAAAAAGTATTAGGAACCAAAATAATCCTGACAATGGTATTGGCCCATTACTAGATGGAAATGAGAGAATTATCAATAATAATGCAGAAAAGACAGAAATGTTAAATAAATATTTCCATTCTGTATTTGGGGGGAAAAGATTATGTAATCTCATCATATAGTGATGATCAAACTCTTTCCATTTCACTAGTGTCTCTGGAGGATGTTAAACCAAAGCTACTAAAGTTAGACATTTTTCAATCAGAAGTTCTAGATAACTTGTATCCAAGAGTTTTAAAAGAGCTGGCTGAGGAGATCACTGGAGCATCAATGTTGCTTTACAATACATCTTTGAGCAGTGGCGAAGTTCCAGAAGACTGGAATAAAACTACTGTTGTGCCAATTTTTAAAAGGGTAAATGGAATAAATGGGATGACCTGGGTAATTATAGGCCTGTCAGCCTGACATCAATTCTGAGCAAGATAATGGAGCAGCTATTATGGGACTCAATAAAGAATGAAAGGAGGATAATGTAATTAATGCAAATCAACATGGGTTCATGGAAAAGAGATCTTGTCAAACTAACTTGATTTTTTTTTTATGAGATTACAGGTTGATAAAGATAATAGTGTTAATGTAATATACTTAGATTTTTGTAAGGCGTTTGACTTGGTATTGGATGACATTTTGATTAAAAAACGAGAACAATATAAAATTAACCTAGTATACATTAAATAGATTAAAAACTAGCTAATTGATAGGTCTCAAAATGTAACTGTAAACAGGGTACCATCATCAAGTGGGTGTGTGTATCCAGTGGGGTTCCGCAGGAATCAGTTCTTGGCTGTATCCTATTTAACATTTTTATCAATGCCCAGGAAGAAATAGCACTAAAAAAGTTTGCAGATGACACAAAAATTGGGGGAGCGGTACATAATGAAGAGGACAGGTCACTGATATAGAGCAATTTGGATCAACTGGTAAATTGGGCACAAGAAACATTATGCATTTCAATATAGTTTAATAAAAATGTATACATCTAGGAACAAAGAGTGTAGGCCATACTTAAAGGATGGGGGCCTCTATCATGGGAAGCAGTGACTCTGAAAAAGGTTTGGGAATTGTCATGGATAATCAGCTGAACATGAACTTCCAATGTGATGCTGTGGCCAAAAGGGCTAATGCAGTGGTGGGCAACCTGTGGCCTGCGGGCCACATGCAGCACATCAGTGCAATCTGATTGAGGACCGCGAGATGTTTTGCTTCCCACAGCTCCCATTGGCAGGAATGGTGAACTGCGACCACTGGGAGCTGCGGGGGGCTGTGCTTGCGGATGGTCAACATCAGCAAAATGTCTCACGGCCTACCATCAGGTTGCCCACCACTGGGATAATGTGATCCTTGGCTGCATAAACAGGGGAATCTTGAATAGGAGTAGAGAGATTATTTTACCTCTGTATTTGGCACTGGTGTGATCGCCGCTGGAGTACTGTGTCCATTTCTGGTGCCCACAATACAAGAAGGAGGTTGATAAATTGGAGAGGGTTCTGAGAAGAACCATGAGAATGATTAAAGGATTAGAAAACATGATTGATTGAACTCCATGAGTCTATTTAGTTTAACAAAGAGAAGTTTAAGGTGTGACTTGATTATGGTCTATACGTATCCACATGGGGAACAAATATTTAATAATGGGCTTTTCAATCTAGCAGAGAAAGGTATAATATGACCCAATGGCTAGAAGATGAAGCTAGACAATTTCAAACTGGAAATAAGGCGTAATTTTCAATGGTGAGAGTAATTAACCATTGGAACTATTTACCAAGAGTTGTGGTGGATTCTCCATCACTGACAATTTTTAAATCATGATTGGATATTTTTCTAAAAGATCTGCTCTAAGAATTGTTTTGGGGGAGTTCTCTGGCCTGTGTTATACAGGAGGTCAGATTAGATTATCAAAATGGTCTTTCTGTCCTTGGAATCTATGAACCTATGTTGAAAATGCTACATATCTCTACGAAAGTCTCAAGCTTTTGTTTTTGTAAGTTATATTAAAGTAAGTATGCAAACTGTACAAACATTACACATACTGAGCCAGATCCTTGGCTGGTGCAAATCAGCATAGCACCCGGACCATTCAGTGGAGCAATGCCAGTTTGCACAAGCTGAGGACCTAGCCTGCAGTATTTAAAAGAATGGCTGCTTTACTATATATTTCATATATTCATAACCAGATTTACAAATAAACTTGTGGAACTAGATTTTCCAAGCTACAGTAACTCAATGAGTCCTGCCGAAGAAACTTCCTTTTTATCCCTTCATTTGGGACCAAAATTAACTTTTTATATTTCAGATGTTCTGATCACCCAAAGGCAATGAATTTGCCACAACTTATTAAGAGCAGAGGTGACCCCGGTGCCTGGATGGGACACACTGAGAATGTCACAATCAGGGCAGATGCTCCCCCAAACTGGCAGATTATACTACAATTAGATTCACAAACCAGTATCAAAACTGTGCTCCTATGTTGACACACTGCTTAACAAGAAGCTAAACAGTTCCCTTTATGCATTCCAGCTTTGGCTCCCGTCTAGACCACCAACTCTAATATAGTGAAAGGTTATTAAAATCCTATTCACCATAAATCACCAATCCCAAAATATCAAACACATTACTCCCCAGGCCAATGAATATTTAAGATCATACCCAAATATATGCTTACAGCCAATCCTTAATAACTAAATCTAAGATTTATTAAGAAAAGGAAAAAGAAAGAAGAGAGTTAAAATGGTTAAAAGATCAATATACATACAAATGACTTTCAGTGTTCATAGATCAGGATCACAGCAGTGATGTTGTAGCTGCTGGCATGTAAAAGTCTCTCTGGAATCAATTCAATGTCCAATAGACAGTTCAGGTGTACAGTCTGTTAGAATTTCTCCATCAGAGTTCCAGGATAATCCGGGTATCCACCTGGAGGCCTCAATCCTATGGCTTAAACCTTCCCTGTTAAAGTTTGAGCAGACCTGAGATAAAAGGATCAGGCCCAAAGCTTTCTTTTATAGTTGAGGCAGGGTGGGTGCTGACAGGAAACTCCACCACAGTGGGCTTTGATGAAAGTGAGCTGACAGTTTGTGATCTCTATTCAATAGGTCCTTTCTCAAACAATGCCTTTAGCAATAGCTATTCAAATTATCAATGCAGTTCACAGGTTGTTTGCTCTTTGGAATTACAAACTTCCAGGAGAGATTAAGACAATAATATTATTATACCATAAGTCCCACCTAAATATAATATCCCCTTTTGATCTCCGAGTCAATAGAATACAGTAATGAAACATTATAAGACAGGAACAGGATTTAGCATCTATAAGCTAATTAGATCACATTGTTAGATTTCTAATAGGATGCAGGTAAACAGAGACATATTTAGCACTTACTCTTTGATTCTCTAACAATACAGACAAACAAGTTAAATATTCTAATCTACTTAACATGGCTTTGATAACTATCCACAAGGAATGGCCTTGTTCACCATTGCAATACCCTTTTGATATGTCCTTAAGGGTTGCTTACAGGTCAACCAGCTTGCTGATTGTATAACCTTTGCTGGCCCAGTGCTACAGCAGGTAACAAAGATTCAGTGTTTGTAATGTGTACAACAAAATAGTCCATCAGTGTTTTTCCTCAGTATTTTTATTTCCTGAGGATCAATGTCATCTCTAAAATAACAGAAAACAAAATGAAAAAAATCCAACAACAATCAAGTTTTCCACTGCCAGAAAAAACAAAATGAACAAAACAAAAAACAACAATTTGGGTTATTCCATCAGTACTGAAGTGTCAAGATTACAACTATAATTACTCCCACTTCTGTTTCCTAAGCAGCTGCTTTATAGAGTTGTCTGCTCTTTTCCTAGGGAATCTGATTGGACTGCAGTCTCCAGCCTGCCTCATTATCTTACCTCAAGTACTGGCATTAACTCTGTTTGCTGATGAAAAGGTTGTGACCCTGAACCCTCATGCTGAAGGGACTTCTCCATGCCATTCAGTTCATTATTCATGTGATCACCCACCTAACTTTTGACCAGGAACCTGCTATAACCCCTCATCTAATCCCGTGGACTTCAAGCTGTACCTCTGATTTTGTGGGGCCAAACCTAGTGTACTGTTGCTTCAAAGCTCTACCTACTATGTGAAAGCACTGTTCAATCATCTTCTAAAGACCTGATCAGGTGCTGAATCACCTCTGATACTTTGTTTCCCAACCTGGCAGATACACTTATCAGGTGTATGAGCCCATATATGTAAACAATTTAAGGCTGGTTGAAAATATTTAATTAACACTGTTTTTCAATGGAAATTTGGATTTTCACCAAAACATTTTTTTTCATGAAAAGTGTCTGCTTTGGGTAGAAAATGTCCATTTTTCTTCAAAAACTGTTCCACCCCTGTTGGAATTATTAATAATATTTTAAATTATTAATGTTAATATGGGAAATCACCGCAGGGAGCGGGGCTGTGGACAGGGGCTGAGGCTAGGAGTGGGGGCAGGAGTGGAGCCAAAGCCAGGCTGCAGTGGGGGTTGGCAGCTGAGCCGGTGGCC